CTGTGAGGGCCCCAATCCTGCACACTCGGGACACGGCAGCTGAGAACCGTCTCTGCCGCGCAGCTGAGCACGGCTGCCACAGTGCGGCCCCGAGCCACAGCAGCCAGCCAAGGCAGCGCTCCCCCCACCCAGCCCTGGGTTATTTCAAGCTCCGTTATCCTGCCGGCCGAAAGGTTAAACCCAATTGGGATAATAAATCAGCAGGGTCTATTTACAAACCCTGACAGGCAAATAAATCCCCTCCCAGTGAGCCGAGGAGGCTGCTGATGAATCCAATCCACCAGCCACAGACACACAGATGCCAACAGCTCCTCGCCTCCTGGTCTTCTCACCCCAAAAGGACACCCCTCGCTCTCCCCGGGGACAGACACCACCCCCAGGGTGGGGAAGCAGTGGGAGCTTGCTGCACCTTACCTGGAGGTACGTCTTGTACTCAATGAGCTTCTCGGTGCCTCGGTGCAGGAGGCCAACGTGGGGGTCACACTTCTTCACCGTCTCCCCGCTCAGCTCCATGACCAGCCGCAGGACCCCGTGTGCAGCCGGGTGCTGGGGCCCAAAGTTTATGGTCAAACTGGAGACCTTCTTGTGAGCCAGAGGGTCCTTGTCTGCTCGGGAGAGTAAAGAGTGAGTTGGGCAAGGAGGAACGTCCACCCCCAGAAGTGCTGCTGCCCCCAAGCGCCCTTGGACTTTCCCAGCAGCACGGACACGCAGAGCGGACACCGGACAGACGGCCAAGCCAAGCTCAGCGCTTGGCCAGACAGCAGGAACGCAGCGTCCCCACCATCAGCTCCCATCTCAGCCCAACGCAAGACCCCTGGGACAGGTCCAAGGGCCTCCCACTGCCTTCCCGGAGGCTCAGCCCTCACTGGCTGCTCTTCCCAGAGCACAGCGAGCCAGACGGCTTCCCGATGCTGCGTGGCCCCAAACGCTCACACCCCCTGAGACCCAGGCACCCGCAGGACACTCAGGAGAACAAGGCAGCCCCGAGCGTCCACTGAGTCCTCGCCGGGCACCCAGTGAGCCCCAGGCTGGCCCCGGCCACCCACCAAGCAGCACCCCTGTTTACCCAGGGGCTCAGGACACCCCCAGACCACCCCAGAGCCCACTGGGCCCTTGCTCCAGCCACAGGTATCTCCCCTGAGTCCCGGGTCCCTGCAGGCATCCGATGAGCCCCAGACCGACCCAGGGCACCTCCCCGGCCCTGTGTGACCCCCAGCCTGACATCCACTGAGCCCTGACAGGGTCCTGAGCACCCACAAGGACTCCAACAAGCCTGTCTGGCTCTGGAGCCCACCGAGCACCCC